GTAAACAATTTCACCATACACACACAAACTGATGAGAAAAATTTCCATTGATGATGATGATTGAAATTTACAGATAGGCAAAGTAAGAAAAATGCTGCTTGCGAACTTATTAGTTTGATTTAAGAACACTTACTTTGTATATTTTGACATGTGATGATGATGATTTGTGTTTTAACTGTTATAAACCTTTAACTTTTTGAATCTGAACATATACTGTTAAATAATTCTGACCCCCCCCATAATTTCCAGCAACTGTTAAAATGTAAATAGATAAAAATTGAAAACAATGTATGAAATGTATTGATATTTTCCATAGAAATTATAAAAAAAAATTGAAATCTGTCAAGCCTATCTATAAATATATGCTCTGCACCAAACTTAACATTTAGTTACTGCAATAGAAGTGAACACTGAGGTGCACCATCTACTGGTAAGTGAACTCGACTACATTACCACCATCACTTAAGAGCACAGTTTTAAAAAAGAACATGTATTTTAATAAACTTTTGCACAATCCCCAAATTTCAGTAGTTGTTCATGTAAATGTTTGTACTTGCACACTAAACTTTACACAAAATGTATATATGTATATAAACACACACACGTATTTATAATGTATTACCATAGAAATTATAACCTACATTAACTTTGTATTTTGTCATGCCTGGCCTTAATCTTGTGGACTGTGTAATATTTCATTTGGACAGGAAAAATAATAGAGTATGGTTGACCTTCAGCTAAAAATTCACTTCCCAAATACCACCAGCATCATGCTGAAACAAAGCATTCATGTGTAAATTAGTGTCTCATAGAAGCCTTTAATTTTTCAGGATTTCTTAGATGAGTAGGAGACATTTTGTGCTGGTTAATTCACAGATAGTTTTATTTAAAAAAAAACACAAGTGCAAAATGTTCTCTTACAGTTATTTCCCATTTTATTTTTCAGATTAGAGTATTAAAATCTATCCAGTAATTATGGAAATCATCCATCCATAAAGGTTCTGATTTGCATTATCCTTATGAGTGCACATACAGTTGAGGCCTGTGATACATTTGATACATTATTTGTATTATGGGCAAAAATATAAAAATGACAGTGATAGTAATAGGTTTAAGAAGGACTGTTTGGTGCAATTTAAATAGCCATTGTTTTCAAAGACTTAGAAGATGAATAGCCAGTGTGCTTGAAATTCCATTATGCCACGAAAGCAAGTGATTTTTTTTGCCTATGTCAATGAAAAAAAACTTTAGGCTCTGATCGGGGAAAAGATTAGAAATTTCCCTGGATCCTGCTTTCATACATGGCCAAACTATTTGGAACGAATGGAGCTAAGTCAGAGGATTCAGTGTTGGTCAGATTTGCAAGTTTCTCCTGGAATGGAAACTTCATTCAAACTAGTCTCTTCACCATTCTTCTCCAACAGTTGTACACCCAGTTCTAGAGGGAGGAAAAATTAGTCTTCCTGAGTCATGTATCGTTTTGTAATGAAGACTTAGGTAATATCTGGATCAACTCTCCCTGAAGCTGCTGTTCCGCAGCAAGGGCCTTCACATAGAATACCCCTTAACAATGTGCGTTCATTTTTTTATGGATATTTTGTTGTATATTCTTGAATTGTGCACTAGTCTATGCTAAAGCCTCCTGTTATTTTTGCTCCGCTCCCCACATACACACATGCTTGTTTGCTTCATCCAGCTGTTATGTCTTTTAAACTGTAAACTCTGTAAGGCAGGGACTGTCATTTACTATATGTTTATACAGTGACTAGCACACTAGGACCCTGACCTGGTTGATTCCTCTAAGGCTGTGTCTGCACTATGAGCTAAGGATGCAATTTCCTGCTCGTGTTCTCATCAGGCTACCACAAGTATAAATAGCAGGGTAGCCACAATAGCCCAGGTGGTAGAAAGTTCAAACCTGCCTGAAACCAGTGAACTATCCATGCTACTGCGGCTGCATTGGTATTTATACTGTCATTAGTTCGATGAGAACTAGTGCAAATATCTGTACAGGAGCAGGGGAATCATATTGTTAGCTCATATGTAGAGACATAGCCTAAATTCTACGGTAATATATAAGGAGGGTCTTTTTCTATCCAATAGCAGATGTTTTACACCTTTTATAAATGTACTTACCAGATGAGCAACATGGTTCAAATGACCCTTCCTCCATGTATGTCCTTTTTGGACTCTCTAATGCATGTTCAGTTGATTCCACCTTGTTCAAATATGGACATGAAGGAGACATGTTGTAAGGTCCTGCTGCAGGATCAGGCTGCTCTCAGCAGCTCTGAAATGGAAGCCTGCAAAGCATTTGACAATAGGAGCCATGAGTCTCAGAAGTGATTTCCTTCTATATCGAGTTACTATGTGGCCATTCAAATTATACAAGTATCACTGAAGACTGAGGAATTTTATATTTTATAGAATTTGAAACAACAGAGGTACAGTGTACGATGCCTCCCATCTGTCTAACGGCAATTGGGTAAAGATTCAATCTCAGATAAGACTTAATAGAGGTCTTATTGTTCACTTTGTGCAAAGTAATTGGGGAGCTGATCTAAGACAAAAGCTATATGTGAATAAAATTAATTGCTCTAGTAGGTGAAATTTGGGGATTGTTTTAAAGATACTTGTAAGGCATAAATAAATTGGTGCAATCTTTTTAATCTTTACATTTAAGAAATGATGAGACAAGACAGTTGGTGCAAAAACTTGGTACAAAAGTCAGTAATATGGAATTTGATCTTCCAAGAGATATTGAGTTTAAGAATGGTTTCTAATGAATTTGCTGAAGGTTTAAGGCATTTTTTTCTGGCACCAACAGAAATATTTAAATCAATAATTTACAGAAAGATGATGTGGGATTTCAGAAGAATTTGTAGAGGCAGGGTTCTGCAGCTAATATTGTACAGAATAATTTCTGATTTTGGCCTGAATAGTACAGTGGAGTTGTTAAAATAAAAGAAGAAAGATAGTTTAATTTGTGAAGAATAATCAGTACACAGTCTTTTTTTTTTAATGCTCAAAATACTAATCACTGTGTTCAGCACTGTTCAGAAACTAATATAGAAAGTCCCTGCCTTGATGGATTTATAATCTAAGGGTCCTATTTTGCAAACACATAGGCATATGCCTAACTTCATTCATTCTGTTGACATACTATGGGACTACTCAGGTATGTGGTTGTAGGATCAGGCCCTTAAAGACATCAGGGTCATAACATATGGTTGAAATATTGCATTGAGGTTTGTCCAAAATAGAGTTGCATACAGTCCAATCAACCCTTCTACAGTGGGATACCCAAACATTTTTTCTTAGTATCTCTGTCCCTATAAAAACAGGGCCACTCCAAAAGTGATTATTCTGTCTTGTAATTCTTCATTGTCCAGACTAGTCAAATGGAATGTGATCTTCTGAAAATCTGGTTCAAAAAAGTTGGTTAACAGTGCTAAATTATCAGGCTAGATCCTTTAGTTACACAATAAATAGAGCTATGCTGATTTGTGCCAGCTGTTCTCTTCTATATAGGTTTTAGGGCTGTCAACTGATTAAAAAAAATAATTGCAATTAATTGCACGAGAAAAAAACAATAGAATACCATTTATTTTAAATATTTTGGATGTTTACTACATTTTCAAATATATTTTCAATGACAATACAGAATACAAAGTGTACAGTGCTCACTTTATATTTATTTTTTTATTACAAATATTTGCACTGTAAAAAAACAAAGTTGTATTTTTCAATTCACCTCATACAAGTACTGTAGTGCAATCTCTTTATCATGAAAGTTGAACTTACAAATGTAGAATTATGTAAAAAATAACTGCATTCAAAAATAAAACAATGTAAAACTTTAGAGCCTACAAGTCCACTTAGTACTTCTTGGTCACCCAATCACTCAGACAAACAATTTACAGGAGATAATGCAGCCTGCTGCTTGTTTACGATGTCACCTGAAAGTGAGAACAGGCAATTGCATGGCACTGTTGTTGCTGGCGTTGCAAGGTATTTACGTGCCAGATACGCTAAAGGTTCATATGTCCCTTCATGCTTCAACCACCATTCCAGAGGACATATTTCCATTAATTTTTTTAATTGCGATTAATTTTTTTGGGTTAATTGCTTGAGTTAACTGTGATTAGTTGACAGCCCTAATAGGTTTTTATACTGCTTTCATCACCATAGTATGTGAGCCCCTTTAAGTAGTGCATCTGTCGCATGGTGTTTTTTCTCTTGTCCTCTCCTCAGGGAAGAAGCATGTGTAGCAGTGTGTGTTGTTTTGGCAGGATATTAGGTTTATGGTTTTTTGTTTTGCTTTGAAGTATACATGTTGCTGTTTATTTATAAAAGAAAAGATCAAAGAAATGCGGGTCAAAGAAAAACTGAAAATCTGACTCAACATGGTTACCATGTATGTGTATAATCTTAAAAGATTACAACAATGGGGCAAATTTAGTTCTGGTGTAACTCCACTGAAATCATTGGAGGAATATCGGCGATTAATGGATACCAGTGCTTTCCATAATCCTTGTCTAATTTTTGAGTTTTTATTCTTAAAAATATTATTAATCTAAGACTGTACTCAGACAAGCAGAAAGTAATCTTCCTGGTGCATCGTATTCAAGTGATGGAATGCTGGAGGTGCTGCACTGAAGCTATGTTTACTTATATAGGGTTACAAATGAATTAAAATCAGTTATTTTGGTGACAAAGTCTTCAGCAGTCTTCTGTTTCCTGTAGTACTCTATTTCATTCCCCAGTATGATTTTTGGCCATTCATTCTAGCTGTCTTTTCCTTACATCAGAAAAATGCGGACTTTATCAAAGGCCGACAGCTCATAAGGACCCAATTAACTCTTGTCTTGATCTTGACTGTTCCTGCAATAATTTAATGGCTATGGGCATGAATAATTTGGCTCTTCTGTGAATAATATCCTTCAGGTCTGTTTAATACATTGTTTTGAAGTGTCCATTTCCTATGTGTTTTCCCCTAGAATGCAGAAGGATTTAACATGAGCATCCCCATGCCAGGCCACCCCGTGAATTTTTCTGAAGTCACCATGGAACAGGCTCGAAAGGATGTGGCACAGCTTGAACGGCTCATTGATGCTCATGATATTATTTTCCTGTTAATGGACACTAGGGAAAGTCGATGGCTTCCTGCTGTCGTTGCAGCCAGCAAGCGGAAGGTACAGTAGATATGCCTTGTTAATATTCCTGTAGTCATACTGCAACTCTGACTTAATTACTTGCCATGTATGGTCAAAAGTAGTTAACAGGAACCTGCAGTTGCTGACCAATCAGCTGGAATTACATCATGCCATTGCAAGAGTTTTTGCACTAGGCACTTTATCAGTAGACTCCAAGACAAAGCAGCAAGTGAGAAAAAAGTGTGTGATGAGGGGGAATGGTAATTCCTATGTTATGAAGGAAGACTGAAAGAACGATGATGAGGGTGGAAAGTGATACAGGATGTCAAAATGTTGATAGTTGCAAATTGTATTTCCAAAGTAGATTTGTAACTTTTGAGACCTGAAGGCAAACTATACATGCAGAAAAAGTATGGATTAGCCAACACTTCATTAATCAAACAAACAAACAAACAAAAACCCCAAACCAACAACTTCTCTGTAAACTCACCCAGCAATATATAATATCTGGGTTGAGCATATCTATCTAAGGGCAGGTCTTCACTGCAGGGGGGGGTCGATTTAAGATACGCAAATTCAGCTACGCGAATAGCATAGCTGAATTCAACGTATCGCAGCCGACTTACCCCGCTGTAGGGACGGCGGCAAAATCGACCTCTGCGGCTTCCCGTCGACCGCGCTTACTCCCACCTCCGCTGGTGGAGTAAGAGCGTCAATTCAGGGATCGATTGTCGCGTCCCCTCAGATCGCGATAAATCGATCCCCGAGAGGTCGATTTCTACCCGCCAATTCAGGCGGGTAGTGTAGACCTAGCCTAAGGTATTTATGTGGCCCCTGTTAGCATAACATCTGGGTGTCTCACATTTGTAATGTAATTAACTTCACAGACTCTGGTAAGGAAGTATCCCCATTTTACACATGGGAAACTGAGGTACAGAGAAAGTAGATGGTTTGTCTGAGGTCACACAGGCAATCTGTGTGGAGGAGCAGGGAATTGAACCTGAATCTTCTGAGTCTCAGGCTAGTGTCACAACCACTGGCGGATATTTCTTCACTGGAAGACAGTGGCACTACATGTGTAAGTGTTTCCAGGATCAGGCTCTGAGACAGTCACTCTGTGCACGTTAGTTCTTTTACAGTCAATTTACCTGAACCAAATTAAAACATACAACAGAATCAGTGAATATGAACAAGTTTATCCATAACTGCATGCTTTTAGGAATCTGTTCCTGAGTGTGATTCTTACTAGAATGTAATAAAAATTAAAATAGAGAATAGGAAACAATGTGCTCTTTTTTAGGTTAAGTGAGAATAACTGCCTCTCTTTAACTCATGGCCCTTTACCTTTCTATTAATCATGCTCTTGAGTGTCAAACTGAGTTCAGGCGTTTCCTGAATGGAAGAATATCCTAAATCTCAGATTATAGAATCCTGCCACCAAAATTTTTCAACAAATTAATATTCCACACATTTGGTGCAGATGGGTTAGTTAGGAAACTCTTAATTGCATTGCCCTGCACATTTGATTCCTAAACTATTTTGACCAAGACTTTGTTAAAGTAAGGTGTTTACAACAACTTCTTTGTCACATTTTTAAGAGTTAATGCAAATTAAGTTTACACCTCTAAAAGATACGAAGTTGGAAAATGCACATGTTAAGGTTTTAAAAGCATGAGAATTATACCGCATTGCACATTCCGCATATTTTGTGGCATAAATAGAATGACATTCACAGCAATACATTAAGTTACAAATTAAATAAAAGAGTAAATGGAAAATAGTACATATGTATGACACAACTGAGTCTGTGTTGCTTTTGAAACATTAACTTTTTCACCGTCTGACTTTTTTTGTGAATTTTAGCTGTGCAGCCTCAACTTTGCACGAACATAATTTTTGCTTGTAATTTCTTAGTTGTTTGGTTGGTGATTTTTTTAAGAATAAGAAAGTGATTGGACAATAAGAGAGAGAATCCAGAATTGCTTGTGACACTTACAATCAGGCTTTTTGTCTTGTAAGTTCCTTGCATGTGTGCATCTCCCATGGAGTGTACACCTGTAGACTTAACCAGACTTTCTCTGCACTTGATCATGAACATTTTTAATGGCATTTTAAAATCCTAAACCAATTATGTTCCAACCTAGCAATCCTCTGAGGATTATGTCCATATCAAGTTTTAAACATCAACCCACTTTTCTGTGGCCCTGTTTAGTAAGTGTGAGTAGAATTCTGTTTGGTGGCCACCAAGAATGGAATTTTTAAATTCTTTCATAATTAAAAATTGGTAAGATATTTTATTCTCAAAAATACAACAAAAATCACTTTAGAATAGAGCTCAAACATAAAAAAAACTCCACAAAAATTGAATTCTTTAGAAAGTTAAACATATGAACATTGGCTATTTATAATCAAGAAGATGTTGCTATCTCAACAATAGCCCTGATCACTAATGAGATCTGTGCAGTTGAAACTCCATGCCTGAATGGAGCCCCATTAAAGTCATTGAAGTGCTTGAACCCTTTTATCCAGCTCCATCTTAAGGTACAGTGACTATAGGTCTGTGCCTAGGACTTCAGATAAGATTCTTCTCTTTCATTTAAAAACACACTTTGTGTCTTGCCCTCATGGTTGCAAAGAAAAGCTTGAAAATGTGACCAGAGTATAAGTGATGCTTGTTTGATTTTTCAGACAGCTTGAAACCATAGGTCCAAGAGACATGAACTGGTCCATTCATCTTAACACTGAAACCTGCTGCCAGCCCCTGAGGGAATCGGCCACTGAGGGAACCACACATCATGGTGTCTGGTGCCACAGACTGACTTAATTCAAACCTGCCTCAGTCTGTGCCTGCACAAATATTTCTCCATCAGGAAACCCAGTATTTTAATTACTTTCTGTTATTGATTGCCACATGTGGTTCCAAGGTATATCATTATTGTTTTCTTTGAATTCCTAGACGACGCAGTACCCAACTGGTCACACCAAGAGCTATCGCAGGCTGAATACTGTATTTACTGATTCTGTCATTTTATCAATCAGCTGCATTGCTGTTTATAGGGAGGAATAGTTAGAGTAAAATAGTATGAAGACAAGTATGTTAATATGATATGAAGATGGAGGGGAGGACATTTCTCATTTAAACAAGTCAGTTAACTAAACTGTTTTGACTTTATTGTGGGGAAGGGAAAGAATCTAAAAGCTAGAATCTGAAGAGCTGCACTATACTGTGCGGTCTCTTCCCTAGCATTCTAACGAGAATGTTGTGCTTCAAGGGACAAACTGAAGACACTTTAAAGTTAAAATAGTAGACAGACCATCAAATGTGACTCTGATTTGTCAGCTGGGGGTAAAGTCATTTATGGTCCACACTACTGAAAAATAACAGGAATTTGATGAACCATTATGTCCTTTCATATTGGCCTGTGAGTCTTCAGGTGAAAATGAATGAGAAACTTAATGAGTTTTTGCATAATCCTCTTCCTTGATCCAGACTTTTCAGCAGTCTACACTGTGCTTTGGCAGTTATGTCCGAATTTCTCTTAGCTATTTAAATATTACACTCAAAAAACTACATTAAAAGACCATTATTAAGGTTGCAAAGTCAAGCACTCAAAAGTTAGGAAATGCCAGGATTAAGGTTGCCTGTGCAACTGCAATTTGCCAACTTGTTCATATGCATTATCACAGTCTTTAATTGCAATATCAGACTATTTTTCCCTGGGACCTCTCCCTCATTCAGTTCACAGAATGAACTGTGCTCATTAATGAGCAGCTATTCAAAAAAGTTTCACCTTGTCATTCAGTATGTGGCCCTCTGCCTTATTTACCACACACTCTTCAAACTCTGCTCTGGAGACAGAATTATTATACGCTATCCAGATTCTGCAACAAATGAAGGAAGGGTCCTAGAGACAGCAGCTTTCTTTACTATACAAACCTGATTCATCCCCAGAACAAGTCCATTTTATGCAGTGAATGAGTCCTCCCAATTTCAATATCCCTTCCTGGATTCCCCACCTAATCTCAGTGTCTGCCAGGTTCCCCGTCTCGGCCTCTTTGCTCTGACATTCCCAATTCTGTCCCCACACTCAAGCTCTTAATCAGATCTGTCTCCCTTCTCTCTGCCTCAATGCTTCCTGTCCTAGTCTTCTCCCTACTTCCCAATCCAATCTCATTTCCCCTTCTTCTCTCCCCCCCCCCCCAATCTACTGGCTCCTAGTCCAGGGGTGAGCAAACTTTTTGGCCCGAGGGCCACATCTGGGTGGGAAATTGCATTCAGCGCCATGAATGTAGGGCAGGGGGTTGGGATTCAGGGTGTGGGAGGGGGCTCAGGGCAGGGGGTTGGCGTGCAGGAGAGATTTGGGGTGCGGGCTCCGGCCTGGCTCCGCTAACCTGGAGCACCTCCGGGGTGGCAGCAGCATGCAGCAGGGCTAAGGCAGGCTCCCTGTCTGCCCTGGCCCCGCGCCGCTCCCGGAAGAGGCTGGCACCATGTCCCTGCGGCCCCTGGTGGAGGGGGGCAGAGGGCTCCGCGTGATGCCCTCGCATGCAGGTACCTCCCCCAAAGTTCCCTGTTCCTGACCAATGGGAGCTGTGTGGGGGTGGTGTCTGCAGGCGAGGGCAGTGCGCAGAGCCCTCTGCCCCCGCTCCTTCAGGGGCTGCAGAGATGTGGTGCCGTCCCCTTCCAGGAGCGGCATGGGGCCGGAGCTAGGGCAGGCAGGGAGCCCGCCTTAGCCCCGTGGCACCATGGGGGTGGCAATCCCGTGGGCCGGATCCAAAGCCCTGACGGGCCGGATCCGGCCTGCAGGCCATAGTTTGCACACCCCCGTCCTAGTCTTTCATTGCTATCCAGTCCCAGGTCCACCCTTCCCAGTCCTGATTCTTTGTCCACCCCTGCCAGCTCCAGTCCCTGTACCCAGGACTCCTTCCCCTAATCTGCTCCCTCCCTGAAGACCTGGTTCTTGTCCCCTCTGCATTCAAATCAGGTAGTGTCATCTTCCTTGCTGCCTGGGCTCAATGGGGTCATTGGGAGGACAAGCAAG